GAAATACAACATGTACATCATGGCGTAAATGGTTTGGCTAACAAACAAGTAGGTTGCAAGTTCTTGAATAAATGTGTTGAGTTATAAATTATCTCTCAAAGGGAAAACCAGTAAAAAGGATTAAAGACGTAAATGTAAAACCTAAAATCATAAATTATACAAAAGAAAACAAAGGTGTTAAGCTCCTGGACATTGGTCTTAGCAATGTTTTTGTGGATTTGACTCTGACAGCAAGGAAAACATAAACAAAAATAGGCAAATGACCACATCAAACTAATAATCTTCTGCACAGCAAAGAGAATCATCAACAAAATGAAAAGGAAACCAGTTGAATGGGAAAATATATTTGAAGTGATATTTCCATTATGAGGTTAATATCCAAAACATATAAAGAACTCATACAACTCAACAACAACAAGAACAAACAAACAACCTGATTAAAATATGGGCAAAGGACCTAAAAAGACATTTTTTCAAGGAAGGTATATAGTTGGACAACAGGCACATGAAAAGTTCTTCAACATTTCTAATTATTAGGGTAACACAAATCAATACCACAGTGAAATATCACCTCATACCTTTTAGAATGGTTATTATCAGAAGAAATAACAAATGTGGGTTAGGGTGTGAAGAAAAAGAAACCCTCATGCACTGTTGCTGGGAATATAAATTGATACAGCCACTCTGGGAAACAGTATGTAGGTTCCTCAAAAAATTAAAAATAGGACTACCATATGATCCAGGTATTCCACTTCCAGGTATCTATTCAAAGAATCTGAAAACACTAATTTGAAAGATATGTATACCCTGTGCTCACTGCAGCATTACTTACAATAGCTAAGATATGCAAGCAACCAATGAATGGATAAAGAAAATGTGGTACATATACAGGGGTGGGCAAAAGTAGGCTTTTAGTTGTGAGTATGCAAAACACAGAGTTTATTCTTGTATTATTAATTAATTATTGTATTATTTGTATTACAACTGTAAATCTACTTTTACCCATCCCATGTGTATATATGGTGTAATATACACATGCAGGCACACGCAATGGAATACTACTTGGCCATAAAGATGAAATATTGGCATTTGCAACAACATGGATGGAACTTAAGGGTATCATATACTAAGTGGATTAAGTCAGAATTAAAAGAACAAAAATAATATTAGTTCACTCATGTGTGGAATTTAAAAAAAAAAAGGAAAAAGAAACCAGTGAACTAATGAAACCAAACAAAAAGAAACTCATACATATGGAAAATGGATTGGTGGTTACCAGAGAAAAATGTGTTTGGGAGAGGACAAAATGGATAAAGGAAGTCAAATGCATGAGGAAGAATGAAAAGGAGACTTTTAGTGGCATGTTACAGTGTATACAGATATTGAATTATAGTGTTGAACACCTGAAACTTATATGATGTTAATAGACCAATGTTACATTAAAAAGGTTATGACTAAAATAAAACATTATTGCATCTTACAGTTTTCTTTGTTTTTCTGCATCTAAAAGTGTGATTGTCATTATTAGTTTACTTACTAATATGCCTTTCATTCCCTGTTCTTATTATTTTATACTTTTATTTTTTCTGGAAATTTGAGAAGAAACTCTGCAGTTGGAATTCACAAATATTTTTACACTTTTATTTTTTTTAAATGGGTGAATAATCTTGTTTGGCTCCTAAATATTGTTTAAAATACAGTTTTTGTTCTTTTATTTTTTTAACTTTCAGTAGGCTCAGACTTTCCGGTTAATCATGGATCAAATCATTCTAGGTCATTTTACAGGAGAAGCCTAAGACATGATTTAAAATGTTTCCCTTTGATATGCACCACTGCTATCTTTTGAATTTTAATATACATTTCTAAGCATTTTAAGAGCAAAATTAATAAAGTCACCCCAGTGACAGTTTCATTTTTAAATCAATATTCTCATAAACAGCATGAGCATGTGATTCTTGTCACAAACACTTTAAGCAGCGATTTTTAACCTTTTTTATCTCATGGCACACAAACTACTAAAATTCTGCAGCATATCAAAAAATATTTTTTGCTGGTCTGACAAAAAATAGGTATAACTTTTACTCATTCATACTGCATTCACACAGCTATTGTTTTATTGGCTGTTGTCATTTTTTTATTTGACAATCTAGGGGAAAAGAGGTCAGTACATCTGACTAAATAGTCAAGTCATGCATGTTTTAAAAATTGTCGTGGCACACCAGTGTGCCTCTTCTGGCACATGGGTTGAAAATCACTTACTTTGAGCGTGTCATCCGTTCGAGAGAAGTTGATACTTACTTGCAACAAAAAGGAACAAAACCTGAATTTCTTATATGGTACAGTAGAGCACTATTATTTTGATATTTTGAGGCATTTCAGTTTTAAAAGGATCATGAACTGAGAGATGCTTCTTTGAATAAATGCCATTGATAAAAAGAGAGCGAATGACTACATTTATCGGATGCTTTTATTTTTGTCTTTTTAACTTTTAAAAAATTTATACATAAGAGAAAATAACCTAGATTTAAAGAAAAAAAGCCATATCATGTGATTCACACATTAAAGAATGAAGTCCAAAATGTAAACATTTCATTGCTCATTCACATATAATGTATATGCAGCAGTAGTTAGCTGACTCTGCATCTTATGTCAATGATTTGGCATGGTATCTTTTCCCAATGTGTCCCAGATGTTATATAAAGTTCTGAGCATGTATTAAAAATGTGTATACATTGATGTGTACGTGTGTGTTTCAGGAGGGAGGAAATCAAATATTGGCCTTCATAACTTTAATAAAAGCTGCTATTTTGACCAAATGAAAGTTTACTGTTTTAATAAAAATTTAAATGGTGAGCATTTATAAAATGTGTAGTGCCTTACGGCCTTTAAACCTAACAGCTGATGACATAAATTTTCTGGATGATGATCAAGTCCATGTTGATGCAGCTGTTGCCATAGAAAGACATGCTGAAGCTTCTACTTCAGTTTCAAGCAGTTGAGTGTGGCTCTTTTCTTTAAATGAGTACCAATGGCCTATGGTTTTTAATAATGAGCACCTAAAACCCAGATCACCAGTTAAAATAAAATCTAATGTAAAGTCTTTAAAAGGCTGGGGGAGGAAGAAGATAGTTTCAATTTCACCAATAAATAGTGAACTCCCACACTGAAAGGTATATTTCTAAAAGTGAGGAGTGTTTCACAAAATGTGTCCCAAAGAATCCAGATATGCACTGAGAAGTATACAGTAGTCTCCAATACACTGCACTTAACTAATTTCATTTGACTGTGTATTACTTCTCCATTTTATACTTCTGTAGCCTTCCTGTCAAAGCCTGGGAAACTTTTTAAGTTGTAACATGGTTAGAAATTTCTTTACTGATGGGACAATATTAATTGTTCGACAATCAGTATTAAAAATGATTGAGGGTTTCTATTAGTTTTATTTCATTACCTTCACTGTTTTGTAAGTGGAAAACTGAGATGATAAAATCTGATAGCATATAATTTATGTTTATAGCCATCTTTCAACATTAAAAAAATCTTCCTGTTTGACATATAAGCTGCAGATGCACTTTAATTCTTATATTTATGTGGTTTTTTTCAACTTTCCAATGAGAACAACTTTAATCTAGAACCTATATTCCATATTTAAGTTAACATGGAAATAGAATAGCTTCTTTATTTTCCCACTCACTTCAAGAAGAGGCCAAATAACTCTGGATTTAGAAATATATAGTTCCTCACTAATTTTTTATTGTGGTTTTATAACTTTGCCTTAATAACAGGCACCCTTTGTTTTCCTTCTAAGGAAATACATTATCTCATTAAAAGTTTTTCTTCTATGTGCTTTGCATGTTTATATATATATATTTTTTAACAAAAATAATTCTGTATCTTTAAAAAACTCATATTGGGAACTTAGTACACAGAGAGAAAAAGGTTAAACAAAAATAAGCAAACCAACAAGATAAATTCACTATGATGCAGTCTAATTCCACTTGCTCTTCCAATGACCTTGGTTGAATTCTAATCCTTTTCTAATAGAGTCCCTCTAAATTGGATCCACTTGTCTTTTTTTCATTAATTGCTAAATATTTCCAGCCACCATGAACTTTGGTCACCTCAACCAAACGAAATACAATCAGCATCTAAATTCAATTACAGAACTCAAGCTTCTCTTACAAATGCATTTTAATTTACTAAGATGACATAGTTTGTTTATAAATTTCCATTAATGATGAAACTTGATGGAAAATTAGCTAATGTCTTAGAGACAACTTCTTTCTTAAGTAACAAAGAGTTATTATACATTTCATAGAACACAGGCCTGGGTATAAATCCTGTTTGCAGTGGATGTTGCAAGTACTGGTCTTGGGCGCATACAAAAAACATAGCAGGTTTTCTCTCTCTTGTCCTTCCCTATATACCTTTGCTTTGTGATCAGCCAGGGAAGGCAGAAAGGTTGGATGCTGAGGGGGAGGTTAAATGGGTGAAATTCTGGGCTGAACTTCAACAGTGCAGCTCAAAGGTTCAATTTTGTTTTATATACTCTATTGAAGTTCTACATAAAATAATCTTTGAATGAAAAAGTTAAGGTTCTTAAAAATTTTTTTTAAGTATTTGGAAATTACATTAGATGATTCATTTCCAAATGCTACTATGAGTTTACACCAATTTATTAACTCACAGTGGCCTGAAAACAAAAGATGGCGGCAATTGGATATTCAGTGTTCATAAAATGAGTAACAGTATCAGGTTTGCATGCTTGTTCCTTTGATCTCAACTGCATTATACACTCCTCAAACTAGACATACTCTAATAACTATTAACTGATATTGATGAGATTTAGCACTATATAGTGATAGCCCTGATCACATAAGGTACCAATAAGGTACCCTATGTATATTATTATGAATGGTAAAATAATGTCTACATAGATCATAAATGGTCTTTAATAACTGATGTTTAACTAAATAGAATTTGGGGGATTTCACAAGTACCCTCGTGCTGGAATATTCATGTGCCTTGCAGACTTAACGACCTCTTCAAACTTCTTCATACTTTCTTCAATAGAACAGTTAATGTTCTTCTTGCTAAATGATTCAGATGCAGCACCAAAAACTGATATCTCTGTGGCTCCAGCAGCAACCTGAAAAAAATATAATTTAAAGGCAAAAGCTAATAACTCAAAAAACCTAAATAATAGCTGAAGGAACATTTAAAGGCACTCTATAAAGGCATACTTGTATTCTTTAACATCTGCCTTAGAATTTAAAATTGCATTCCTTTCACATTGCCACATATACTCTTTTGAAATGTAAAAATATTTTATAACAGAAAAATTTTACAAACTGCAACACTCATAAATATAAAGCACAAAAAATACAATAATGATGTTCCAGTATAATGTCTTTTCTAAGGTACATAATCCTCAGAAATATTTAACCCTAATTATGGAAAATACTAGCACTCCAATTAAACCTCTTAATATCTATGGAAAACATTATTTTTAGAACAATTATTAAAATTATAAACAGTAAAGTACAGTAAAATCTGTGGATTCTTCTCTTTCTATAGTTCAACAGAAAAAAAAAAAAAAACAACTTTTTTCCAGGTCATCATTCAAGTAATGCCCAAAATTTTCTTCCCGTCTCTTGACCTAACTTACATTGGTTCATACCTTGACTGCTATAACCATACTCTTGTGTGTCTAATGTCTAATCCTCTTGCCAGTCTTTAGATTCAAAGAGTTAACCAAATCAGTTTTCCTTTGGCCTCTTTTGCCATCTCTACTCCTTTCCCCGTACTTCTCCAGCAACTTGTTTTCAAATGCCAAGCCTCCTAGTTTTCCAGGGGAAATATAAGACTCTTTATGAACGTATCTCTAGCATTGTGCCTAAATTTCCCTCTCTTTTTCATACTCTATTAACACATTAAGAAAAAAAAACCCTGTCATCTTTCCAACAACTTTAAATATATATATTTATATTTATATATATGTAGGCTTCCACTCTTTCATCCAAATAAATGTTTAACTTCTAAAATTAAATTCTATTTATTGAACACCTACTATGTGCCGGTATTATTGTTAGTATGTTGTATGCCCTATTTGTAATCAACAAACAATCTTGTATACTAAGTATTATTATCCCATTTTACAGATGAGAAAACTGGGGACAAAGAGGCTAACTCACTGGCATAAGTTCACAAAGCTAGTATACACATTGGAGTTTTACGGAAAGCTTGCCTGATTCTTAAACCAAGATTTGTTTCACTCCATCAGGTGCATTTCTAAGCTACCATAGAGGTGTCCTGTTAGTATCTTTTCAAGGTAGATACAATCCCTACTTTGTGTAGAACAGAATGACAGTAATATTTACAATTTCTTAAAATGCCTTTTTTCTTTACAATATGATAAACAATTATATCTAATCAAACATAAGTGGTTTCAACAAGACTCACTAATACAACCTCAACTTTATGCAATGATGTCCAAAATACAAAAGTGAAAAATATCCATTAACATCAGAAATAGCTGCAGCAAACTTTTACAATAAAGCCATGTAAGCATAACACCTCAAGCCTTTACTTAATATTTCATTGATTCTTCTTGTATGTGTATTTTTAAAATAATTTTGCATATAAATTGCTAGGTCACAGAAGAGTGGGAGAAACAAGCCAGAAGGGGGATAGAGAAAGGTGTTAGAGGCATTTCCAATGACAGCGATTAGCTTCACATAGAGAGACAGAATAGCAACAGAAAGCTGACCCCAAAAAGTTGACAAAAATAATCATACATTACAATATTAATAGGTATAATATTGTATTGATAAATGATTAGGTTATGTTCTATAGTCCTTATATAAGGGGGATGCACAAAATATACTTTCAAAAGAATTTAATCAAATGGATGACTATATTTTTGTGTTTTGATTTTTAAATGGTTCAATTGCAAGAACCATTAAGGTAGAGCATTGTAATCCCTAACTATGCTCTAAATTTACTAATCTCCATGTATTCATATAAATATATTAGCATAGAATTTATACAAGATAACAAGCAAGTTACATTTGACACCATTTTAACTTAGTAAAAACTTTAAAAACAATAAGCAGCATACTGCTTTTAGAAAAATTAGTAGCATACTTACAGCATGGTGAAAACCCTGAAGATTAGGAGTGAGGACAGGGTATCTAACTCCTGGGTATTGATGAATGCCTTTCATCACTTCAGTGTGATCAGCCATCTTAAATATATAACAGTTATACGTAAATATGTCACTTTGAATATTCTGTCAAGCATGCCTTTAGTTTTCCAGGAAGATTATAATTGCATGCCATTAATTAACTTATATAAATTAATGTTTGAAATAACAAAACTATGCCAATATAGCTAAAAATAAGTAGTTTTCAATGCCATAAATATATACTGCCTAGATCTGGGTTTAACTTATTCACATAAAGGATCTGGTTAAATAAACAATTACAAATAATCAGGAATTCTGAACTCTACAATTTTTATTTGACTGATCTTTATTCTCTTTCTTTCATTTTATTGGCCAAGCATGAAATACTCCTGAGACCGGGGAGAGTTTGAAAAGCAATATGCTATGCATTTACCTGCTACATGAAAATTTTACATACAAATAGTTTTCATTGCATGAAATTTTACAATGATTAGTAAAAAGGAAAATTACACATCTCTGTTAGAATAATTTAACAAGGCTGAGAGTCTAGTATATTGCATAGATATTTTAGTTAGTAGTAGTCAAAATGTTTTATGCAGTACTATCATTGAATTACTATATGTTCTCATAATGCAAACAAAAAATACAACAGAGTACACCACAGGAAAATTTAACTTATCTTGCCAAGACTTTATTTTTCTATATTTTCTATGAATCTATAAAAATCAACATTGAATTAAAATATCAAATTTACTAGTTTGCCACCAAGTCTCATTTAGCCTTCTAGAACAATAATTGATGATCAAATCACATAACCATCACATATAGAAATTACCATTGACATAAGCATGAGCTTTGCACATTTAAGAATAATGAATTATGGCATGAACAATAAATATGAGAAATAATATTTAAACAATGAAAATTATACGAAATGAGCATGGGTAAAGCTGTAAAAACATACATCAAACCAAAATTTATATCTTCAATATACAGAAATAGATAAGGGAAGACTTGTGTTTTTTCTATACATCTTAGTGTATTACAATAAACATGTATTGTTTTTAATTTAAAAGTGAAATAAAAGTAAATTAAAGTATAAATGCCTTTCTTAATATAACCAAACTTTTAAAAAATACAAAATATTATAGTATGTACTCCTATTGGTCAATTGGTCTTATTGACTCTCAGTTGAATGCCAGAAGAATTAAATGTAATATTTTCAATGAATATAATTTTAATTAAATAAATCTTTAAATATATTTCAAATTTAAAATTAAGTATTTAGAGGCAAAGCAAGTATACTTCATTGTACACTACCATGATGGTACACTACCATCATTTCTTATTGAAATTTAAGCTTCCATGTTTCATTCTATCTATACATATATATTTCTGTCTAGAGTGTGATTCTTGCTCACCTACTTGTTAGAGATCACATGCATATAGGGATCATATCCCCCACCCCACAGCTGTGTCTTTTCTAGACTATCCACTTTTAGTCACATTGCATAAAAGCTAAATCTTTCATTTCATTCTAAGTTGATTTGACTTTAATCCAGATGTTTATTGAGTACCTACTATGTCCAAAGCCCTATGTTAGGCCTTGTGGGGAAAAGTAAAATACAGAAAAGTAAGGTTCTTGCACTGAACAATTTGCAACACAGTTGGGAAGATAAAACAGATGCACATGGAAAGTTAATAAGTCAAAGGATATACTGGTTATAAATGAGAGCACAGATTGTAAGAGGTCAGCATGGAAAAAGGCTGGTCAATCCCTGTCATCCCTAACTATGGGATCTATATTACAAGTTCCCAAAATATGTCCACAACAATATTTCTAATTGCACATGATCTTCCAGAACCTCACCAATTCCCATCAAGAGATGGATTCTATTTACTTTCTACTTGAATCTGGACAGGATTGTGATTTCTCTAACAAATAGAATATAGCAGAAATAATTTTATGTGATTTCAAGACTAGATTATAGAAAAGGATACAGCTTCCACAGGGCTTTCTCTCTGGGGGAAGCCACTATGAAGAAATCAGCTGATATGCTGTGAGAAAAACTAGCTTATGCAAAGAGGCCATGGAAAGACGCCCACATAAAAAGACACATGTGAAGACAAGCTGCGGCCCCAACCAGCCAACAGTCAGCAAAGTCCCCTAAGTTTGTGATCGAAGGGCGGTTTAGGTAACTAGTCTCCATCCAGCTTGTGAGTCACCAGATGAGGCCCTATACAGTGTGTACGAGAGACAACTGTCCCCTGTAGTACCCTGTTCTAATTTCAGTCCTCAGATTTTGTGAGCATAGCAAAACTTTATTGATATAGTAAGTTCTCAGGTAGTTCATTACATTTCCAAAAAAGCTGAAATAGGTAAAAATAATCAATAGGGTTGGAAAAGAGGGAGGGGCAGATGCAGAGATAAGAATACATTATTTGGCTAGAGAAGAGCCACACATTGTGATGTCTTTGAGTTTTCACATTATTCAAAAATTTCAGGATTTATTGTGAAACAATAGAATGCTATGGGGAGTGGATATTGAATTACCAGAAGACTGGAACAAATACAGTAATTTAGGAAGAGAAACCAGCAACAGGCAGCCTAGGGAGAAGAGAGGCGATTCTGATGCAATTTTGAGAACTCATCTGGTGACAGGTTCTGTTGTAGTGAATGGCACAGGAAGTAGAACTGCTGAAGAACACCAGCAGGACACAGTGGCTACTAGAATAAGGGACATGGCTTTACTCAAAAAAGAAAGTGATTCTAAGTGTTATATAAACTTCTTTTTAAAATATTTAACCTTGTGTGCATATCAACACAATTCTTGATTGCATTTTCATTTGTTTAGCCTTTGTGCCAGCGTGGACTCTGTCTCTCTCTATTTCTATCTGCCTATTTCTATCTCAGACACAAACATACAAAAATGCACATACAAATTATGATAAAAAATGTGGACCACTTTCTTCTAATTTTAAGCAAAAAGAAAAGCCAAATTACTACTTGTTTTAGGATATTGCAATGAAATCTAAAACAATACTCTCTTACCAGAAAATGTTAATTGATAATATTAATTCCTATGTCTAAACCTAGTATGTCTAACTATTTATTAGAGACATTTACATTAATATGATAATAGATAGGAATAAAGAGTGCTTCTCTAACCAATACACAGATCTGGGTAAAGGATTGTCAGTGCATATAAAACTGCATAATGGGCACAAAACAAAATTTAATCTTTAAGAAGCATAGGTCATATTATCCTGTGATTATTTCATTTTACATGTAATTGCAACAAACTGTTGAATCATGATGAATAAATTTATATAAATAATGATTTAATAAATGTTTTACTAGTAAAATTAGAAAATAAACAGAGATGGACAATAACTAAATTTCTAGGTCATGAAAACTAAACTTTGATAAGTATAAAAGATATCTTAATGAAACTATGATAAATATATTAATTAGAATCAAACAAATCAGTATTTTTCCTTTTTATAAAAAGACACAATAAACTGAGGTAATTTAAGAAGTAACAATATTTCATCTAAATTTGGTTAACAAAAAGAATTATGTAAAGTGCTTTAGGACATCCTGATAGGATATAATTTTATTACAATAAATAAAATAGAGCAGGTTTCAATTAAAGGTATAAAATTCCTGCCTCATTTTTTAATTTGTATATTTATTTATTTAACTCTTAGGGGTTTATGTATACTTTGATCTTGATATTATTTTGATGTATAAAGTTTAGTATTCAAATAATGAAACTATTTCTTTACAGTATTATTTTGACACTTTAATGGGACTTTTTTCTACATCAGGTTTGATTTACCATACTTTTAATATTTTGTTGTGACTTTTCATTTCAAATTATAAAATCCCCACAATCTGGCTGGTAACCTGCTTTGCCACCATCTGGCCACAGCCTGGGAATGACAATACCTATATATCTATCTAGGCAACAAAACAGGCTACACTATGGTTAATCAATTCTTAGGCACCAGCATTTTGATATGGATTCAAATGGTCACAATATTCATGCAACACTGCAAGAGTCTTAAAAATATGTAAAGAGTTACAATGATTAGAATGTCATAGGTATATAGTTAAGAGATCTTATATTTGCTTCTAACTATGATGGGGTGATTAAATTTGGACACTCCACATTATATACATGTAGACATCTTCTAATATTTTGTCTTTATCTGAATACTAAAATCTCTCTTAAGTATTTAGGATTTCAGTGTGTTCTCCAGACAACAGCAATCACTAAAATATAATTTAAGTGTCACCATCTCACCCAAATTCCCTAAGGTATGGAATTTCAAGATAATGCATATGAGTATGCAGTCATAAACAATGATAAAGGGTTTCACATAAACTTGGGAGAAGGAAATATTGGAAGTTTCAATTATATTTTGAAATATACTATAAACTTTCAAATTGGGGCCATCAAAAGTTAATTTTAAAATAAGATGGGACCTTAAAAATTGATTTTTATTAATTCAGTTCAACATTTGAATATTGGTTCATTTCAATATTTTAAACACTATGTACCTAACATTATGGCCTACAAAAATGAAGCAGATACAGTCGATGCACAGGCTAGTGGGGAAGATACTTATGTGTGTTTGTGTGTGTATCAAAAATATAAAATAGTATAGGTATCATGTGATCTGAAGTTCCAAGGAGCACAGATAAAAAGTATTTTTCTTTGCACCCGAAGCTAGAATAATGATAAATACTTAAATTAAACCTTGTCTACACCAAATGTAAGTAATTCAGGGGCTTCTTTTTCTTTGAAGCAAAAGAGTCATAGAGCTTAATAAAGCAAAACTATTCATAGAGCTTAAAAATATTCATAGAGCAAAACTACTAATATATTTACAGTTTCTGTGATAAATTTAACTTTCTAGTGTACTGTAAGAGGAAAATGATTTAAGAAATCTAAACTTAAAAAATACTTAAAGTTCTTCATATAATTATGGTGTGACATTTTATAGAAATTAATTTAATTGTTAAAGTCATATAATTCTGTCATTTTTGAGTC